TTGACCGGCACGGTCCCTTCTCCTTTGCTTGACGTCCCCTAGTCCGTGAGCTACATTTATTTAAAATTCATTTATATTGAGACGAAGGCGGATGACATAACAAAATGAAATCGAAGAAATTGCCAGGTAACTAGACAACCAAACAATCAGTGGGTAATTCGTATATGCCAGAATGTTCTAGTGGCGAAAGTTTGTTAATAGAACGGGCTGTCGGACTGTGCTTAGGACAGAGCTCTAATTAGATTGCTGTCGTGTTGTTTAAATGAGTTAAGTCCACTGACAACTCTACCCTACACCGAAAAGGAAAACCATTGTAATCACCACATTCTGATACACCGATTGACAGCGTTCTAATTCGATACATTATTTTAGTGTGAATAAAGTATTATAATAAATAAACAGTAATGATTTTAAATGCATTGGTTTTCTCATTTTAAACACTCGCGCGAGTTATAGTATATCAACTCCACTGACGTACGATATTGCGTCAACTCCGCAGCCAACATATATACAAGCCATTATTGAGGCACAGTAAAAATGTTAATGTAAACGAACTTGGCAAATGTAGGCAGTGATCGAACGAAACGAAATCGTGAATATCAAGTTACGATTCCGTCTGTGTGGCAACAGTTTAAGCAATATACATGTGGGACGAGTAACCTCGACCGTACGGTCAACCAGGTCAAGCAGGAATAAACAGCAACCGTACCAAGTACGAAAATTAACAACCCTGACTCGACCGAGATAGCCAACCCACGGACGCTAACAAGACACAGTCATGGATAAAATGATACGAGACTATTTGATTCGAGAGAGAGCTGTCAAAACTCGCATTTTGTATAACATTTGCCAATGATGACACTGCTGAAAAATATTAGATTGGGTATTTGATAAATTATAAAAAACACTAAATTAAACAYTTTGAAATATATAAATGCTAAAATCCAAAATCATTAATTAATTTACATAAACATTTATTTTGCCAAAATATGTTCACACAGTTCAATGAAATTTCATTTCACACTAATTTCGTCAGGTAATTATAACGGTTTACTTCTGGCATCCCGCCTTTTCTGAAATCAACTGTCAGAAATTCCCTGATCTCCATCGCTGTCAAATAATCAGAAAACGCGTTTGAGAGAAAAAGAGAGCCAAGGCTAAAGTCTCGTATCATATTATCTATGGCACAGCTGAATTTTGAACTTGGCAGCGAGCGGTTGTTAGCTTTGAATATCTACAATACGTTTATTTAAAAATAACTGCAAAGTATATAACTTTGAGCGTAAAATAATAAGCAACGTTTACTATTTAAAACACTTGTGGCTTACTGAAAGACAACTTAAAGAAATATTATAAATCTTATAACTAGTTTTTAAGTTARACAACGAATGTTTAAATGACTTTTATACTTTTATTTTAAATAAATGTATATAATACGAACCAATTGGCCAATATAAATAAAATATAAAATGCGGAATTGCGACTTCTTTCTGCATTAACAATAACAAATAAAAAATCAATTGATTCATAAACAATAGAGAAACAATGCATATGAATAATAAAAATTTTAATTTTTGTTTAGTTCTGAAGAATCAATAAAGCAAGAAACAACTAATTTGGTTTTGCTTTCTGTTTAAAAAAGGTCAACAGAACTTGACAGCGATAACTCTCGAGTTGATTGGAAGGAGCTAAATCCGGTGGTTTGTATTCCTCACTAAATTTGGTTTATATATAATGACAGTAAAAAGGGTATAAGTAAAAAAGATGTAAACTCGAATAATGAGTAATACAGCGATAAGTTGTTAGAATTGGAAATAAAGTTAAGAGTATATCATAAAATTGGGACTTTTTTTTTAAAAGTACGATGATCGCACTCAAGATGGAGTTAAAAGGTAGACGATTTATCAGAACTCCGTTACAATATACATTATTACATTTAATACTACTATTTATTATTTATATCCTAGTACATAAAATGAAAAATTTAAAATATTTGTAACATACTATTCATATTTCTATATTAGGTACCAAAAACGGATAAACATTCAAATTTCGGAAGATATCGTATCTATTCATTTAAAACCAAGCTCTTTGGCAACCATGGAAAAAATTTCAAAACGAAAAGAAATGATGAATTGCGTAGCAGCTAATTGTTATAAAGAAGAACACACAGCAGAAATAAAGAGATGTCCAACTCACCTCTCATTGGGAATGAGAGAGAAATTCCTTCAGGAGGTTTTGACGTTTAGCAATTGAAAACGAGCGATGGCCAGATTGAAATTTTACCAAAAAAATATGTAAGCGGAAGGACTTGTTGCATCGTTCATGACCACAATATGGTAATTTTTTTCGCACTAAATGTTGGGTGTTTTAATTTAAATGCAAAAATTATTATTTTGTCCGATCTGGCCATATTGGCAAATGTTATAAAAAATTATAATTTTAAGGCGCTCCCACACTATAATAAGTTGGTCATCCCTTTATCCCTGACACATGGTGTTTAACTCGAGCGGCACGGTCTCTTCGTCTTTCCTCATCGTCCCATCGACCATGAAAAACCGGATTGGGCGTCAGACAGCCCGTATGTGAACTGACACCTACAGTTCATCGCAGCAGTTTTCTGATACGTAATTAACTAACAAGTTTTATGTATATAAAAATTCCGCCTTAATTATTTTCAGGTAACACGAGTCTCTCGAAAGTCGCTTAAAAACAATGATTCCGAAGAATGGCGCAGTATAAGAAAAATTTATAATCTCAACTATACTTTTAATGAACTGCGTAAGAAATTCGATTTCCTTTCTTTATCTGATAGACCGTTTTTTCGGGCCTGGCGTTACCTTATAAGTCATCAAAACTGACTATCGTAAAAACAGAATTTTTTTTAATAAATTAAATTAAATTAGATAAATTTCTATAGGAACACAAGAAATGGTACAAGACTTCATGACAAAGATAAGCAATAAAATTTAATTCTCCTGTCGGATCAGCGTAACCAGGGCAAATCTAAAATTTTAACTGGTCAAAACAGCACTGCCAACTCTCTTTCTTTTTCTCTTCTAGCGTTAATTACAAAGAAAGGAATACGTTTGATGTTTATTTACACCATACTTAATAGCAAACATTGTACAAGGTGACTTCGCAAGTACATTTACTGGTACAGACAAATAAAAGCGTTGAGCGGTACAATTTTTAACACTCAGCGTTAACGCCGTCCCTAAATAAAGCGACAACTTTAAGTCAAATTCTCACTAAAATTCTAAAATTAGTACAGGAGAAAGGAAATGCAAACAAATTAATTTATTATAATACTAACAACCATTTGTACAAGCATTAATTACCGCGCGTCAAGAATTTTTTTTTAGAGAAATAGCAATTTACTCATTTTCTACAGCTAACGTTACTTTTTAAAGCGTTTTAAAATTTAAAATTTTCAACCGTTCAGGGTTGCCGCTACGTTTATATAAGTATACAGCATACAAAATAAAAACCATGAGCAATTTTTTACAGTAATTTACCTCTGTCACTTTTGTTAAGAGACGGCATTTACGCTCTATCGTTCAATCGTTGTCGAGACAGCGAAAAAATAACTTTGCATGTTTTACATTTTGTGAATTAGGTTATTTACGATAAGTAAAGTCTAATATATTTCGTTTAATAGTAACATACCTACATATTTTAAAATAATAAAATACGAAAGAATAAAAATAGTTTCAGAATGTAAGGTTCCAAAGTTATTAGTGGTTATCTTCTTTTTTGTGCTTTTTCACACGGTTGTAGTTGCATTCCAACCACTGAAACAGCGAACTCCGCTGTTCCTTTCCTTAGTTGCCGCAATTAGCGAACAAAATTTGTCAAAATTTGATAAAGTTGTAGCAACGTAGAAATCAGATGTTTCTTTTTTTTATTTGAACAATGTTGTCATTGCTCAATACGCATATATAGTTTTGTACACACCTTTTCAATTACAATTTTTTAATATATAAAATCATAACTGAAGTCAAACTATTAAAAATAGTTTATTTATTATTTTAAGAAAATTTCACACATTGAAGACAATTTTTATAATTACTATAGAATATCGAGACTGGTACTCTTGCATTTTGAGAGAGCAATCAGCTGACTCGCTTCCACGGGAAAAATCCAAATCGTGGAAATTTCTACGGTAACGTACGGTAAACCGGGCGGTAGAAGCGGTGTTGGCTAATCATTTGTATTGCGCTCTCATAAGAAAGGTCTATCAGCTGATTCAGGCTGCAGTTTTGCTCTGTTCTATACTATAAGCAAATATTTTGCTTCTTAATTACAATATTAATGGGACTATAAGGACCTCTTTCTCAATGTCTGTTGAACAGCCATCTGTCAGTTAGGTTCTTCTTTTGCTGGAAAAAATTAATAAGAGAAATTATTAATAGAAATTGTGGTATTTTTGGAAAAACAATATAAACATAACGAAAAAATTCGTTTTTTATTAACTACGTTAAAAGATAATAGAGTAATAGCAATAATTGATTGTAAAGCGGAAAAAGTGTGCGAAAAAGTTAAAAATGTTGGAAAAATGGATAGCAAACTGTGCGTTATTTATTTTCTGCCATCTAAAAATATTAGAATTTGTTTTTCTTAATATACTTGCACATAATTTAATTAGCAATATAAAAAATGTTTCATCTGATGCTGTACATACAAAGAAGGCGGCAGATTTCAAGCGATATCTGTCAAATAATAGCAAAAACTCACCATTTTAGGGCAGTGTTGCCTAAATTTTTGTGTATTACTAACTTGCATTAACATGGGTCAAATGCGCAAGTAAATATAAATTAAGCCCGCTAATGCATTGTCGTCTGTCAGGGTTATTACTCTTCGGTTAACAGCATCCACCATTGGCTATTTGTTTGGTTAGCTATCTTATTGAATTGAATACAATATTTCTTTGGGCATATGCTCTTAAATAAGAAATGAATTTTTTTTGTAGGTTGACAATGAAAGTAAATGAAATATAATTGTAATGTTACAAATTTGAAGGTTTATTAAACTGAATGGGGCGAGAATCCACTTCCTCGAAAASGGCAGCCGGTGCGTGTATTTTGCGGTGGTAACCTCGGCGAATGCGTGTGTCTAAGAGTTGATGATCGAATAAGCACTAGCACGAGCACTGAATAAAGCTTCTCTGATGTAAGGGGCACACTACGCCAATTTCCTTTTAGTTATAGCACTGAAAGGTTAAACGTTACCACGCCAAAGTTAAATGTATATAAACCGGGTAGAAGCCAAATAACGAACGAATAATCTCAATATAAAATGTCCAAAAAAATCCAAATATCAAACGTATAATGTCTATATAAAATGACCGGAGGGTGCAAAGATGCAAGGTTGAAAAAAGTTGAAATAGACGGTGCGCGTGTGTAGCGGCGAACGTGACTTCTAGAACTGTGTAGGACAAAAAACGGCACAGCGTCACCTTCTCGTTGGTATGATGCCCTGTTTTTCTAATTGACATGTTGATGCGGAGAGTGTTGTATTCGCTGATCAGTGATGCCCTTTAATTTAATTAGTGCGGGCGCCTGGAGTTCATTTCAACATCCCGGCCCCCCTAGGCGAGTGCTAGTCTAGTAGACGCTGTAGTGCCTGTAACGTAGCTACAACGCCGCTCAGGCCGGTGGGGCGGTGAGGTTGTGGCCTTATTTGGTTGCGCGTGGATGTTGTGTTGAGGGGGCGCCACGACCATCCAGCTTCTGGATGCCGTGCCACACGGTTAGGCTGCGATCGTCGGGTGGCCGTACGGCGGCGGATGACAGTTGGTGAGCCAGGATGTCCGGCGTTCCGGTGGAGTAACGTATGATGCGGTCTTTCACACAACCGGCACAAGGTATCAGATTCGCAGTCAAGCGTGGCGTGTGACTGGGCCAAGCAATTTAAACAATGCCCATGTGCCTGTGCCACCTTCTGACGTTGTACGGGTAACATTCCCTTGAAAATAGAGCAATGCTGCAGCCTATGAGAACGGCAACAGAGCGGACATCTGGTGCGGTGCGGTTTCGGAAGCGCCGGCGTCGGTGCTGCGCGTGTTGAGCTTCGTGCCACAGTTGGCGCCGTTGCTGCCGTGATGGTTCGGGGCGCTGCTACTGGAACATTTCCGGAGCGAGGCACAGTAACAGCCGAACGGAGAGTTGGCGTGGGAGTTACAGGGGTATCCATATCAATCTGTGAGAAGAAAGAGAAAATCGTAATGATTACAATTTGATTGCCTGTAAGCGTGCATGAACAGGGTGCCACGTTAGGGGCATGACTAAATKATCGTCCGTCTATGGGGTTGCGATATATATGTATGTCTACGTTTGTCTTACGGCTTGAAGCTTATTGTAATTATCCTTGCGGTTTTTCTTAATGATATTATTGAATTATTTTCCTTTTCCCGTCTTTTCGGATCGGTTTAGGAAGGGTTATTATTTACGTTTTCGTAARTGGCGGCAGTTGGTAAAAAACATAATTTGACAAGCGGCCGGGTTAGTGTTCCGTTTTGCGTACGGAGATCAACCACCCGGATGTGACCGTCGGAAGCGTAGTGCAGTTTCTCTATGCGGCCAAGCCGCCATTCTGTGGGGGGGAGACAATCGTCATGAACTAGGACACAATCTCCAAGCATTGGAGCCTGTTCTGGGATTTTCCATTTATACCTTTTGTGAAGGTCTTTTAAATACTCTTCTTTCCATCGTCGGCTGAAATTATGATGGAGAATTTTAATTCGTTCCCATCTGTTTAGTAAGGACGGCGACTCCATGCCTGGCTCAGGTGTGGCCAGAATGGGCGCTCCTTTAAGAAAGTGCCCTGGGGTAAGGGCAGCAAAGTCGGAGGGGTCTTGCGAGAGTGCAGCGAGAGGCCGTGAGTTGAGAACGGCTTCGATTCTGGTTAACAATGTCGTGAATTCTTCATAATTGAATTTGAGGTTGCCAGCTAGCTTCTTGAAATGCGATTTAAAGCTCTATACCGCTGATTCCCATAAACCACACATATGAGGAGCGCTTGGGGGGATAAATTGCCAATTTATACCTTGAGGGGCGTATTTTTGAACAATGTCAGGTGAGACTTGTTTCATGAACTCCACAAACTGTTTCTCGGTAGCTCTTTGGGCTCCAATAAATGTTTTGTAATTATCGCTCATGATTTTTGAAGGAAAACCGCGTCTTGCGACGAAGCGAGCAAATGCGGCAAGAAAAGCCTCCCTGGTCAGATTAGTACATAGCTCCAGGTGTACTGCTTTTGTGGTGAAACAGACAAAAACAGCCACATAGCCTTTCATGAGGGTAGGAGATCTTAGCATGGAAGCCTTTATCTGAAAAGGACCAGCAAAATCTACACCTGTAGTGGTAAAAGGCGGAGCAAAGTTGCAGCGTTTCGGTGGAAGTGCTGCCATAATCTGTGTTCGCATTTTCTGTTTATGCATAGTGCAGATCTTGCACCTGAWAATGCATTTCTTGATTTGGGGCTTCAGACGTGGAATGTAATATTCCTGTCGCACCACATGCTGCATGAGACGGTTTTCGGCGTGTATATGTAATATGTGGATGTAATGTAGGAATAATGTGGCAAATGGAGATTTCTCAGGTATTATTATGGGGTGGCGCTCGTTGTATGTTAGGCTTGAATTAGCAAGCCGACCATTGGCCCGAAGCAGCCCTTTCGTGTCTAGAAACGGGTTTAGCACTAAGAGTGRGCTCTTTTTATCAATCGGCTTCGATTCTTTTAGTGAGGCTATGTCGCGGCTGAAGTAGAGCTTTTGAGTTGATGCGATAAGAGCGACATTTGCCTTTTGTAAGGCTTGGTGCGTCAATGTATCGCATTGGGGATAAGTTGCTTCTTTCAGTTTATGTTTAAGGCGCTCTATGAACTGGAGCATATAGGCGACGACTCTGAGGGCTCTGGGGAACGATGAAAATCGTTCAAGGATGTCATTATCCTCCAATATTGTGTGGTAGGTGTCGATTTTTCGACTTTCGGGCGCAATTATGTTGCGCATTGGTGATTGTGGCCAAGAATCGGAGGATTCTGCTAGCCATCGAGGGCCATTCCACCAGAGCTTGGTGGTGGCCAGGTGCAAGGGTTTGCACCCTCTTGTACCTACATCGGCAGGATTGTCAGCACTGGCTACGTGTCGCCATGTGGAAGATCCCACTAGGTCAAGTATTTGCGAGGTTCGGTTGGAAATATATGTTTTCCACGCATGTGGGGGTTTTTCCAACCAGGCTAGGACTATTTCGGAATCAGACCAGAGATATAGYTTGTATTTCGCCATGTCTAAGTGGGTCTGCACCATGGAAACTAGTTTTGCTAGGAGCAGGGCGCCGCAGAGTTCGAGTCGTGGTAGACTTATCGTTTTTAGAGGCGCAACTTTTGCTTTTGCCACTAATAAGTGGCGCAATATGCCTTTTCAGAGGCGTCACAGAAGCCGTGTAGTTAAACTTTGTATTCGGGAGAATAGTTCACCCACCGTGGAATTTGTATCTGCGAAATGTCGTTCAGATTACTCGCGAACTGGGACCACTTTTCTAAACGAAGTGGTTTTACTTGCTCGTCCCAGTCGGTACYATCTAGCCATAATTCTTGTATCAGGATTTTGGCTTGTATCATAATTAGCGAAAGCCATCCTGCGGGGTCAAAAAGTTTTGCCACAGAGGAGAGAATTTGGCGTTTTGTAATGGCACATAATGCAGATATGGACTCGGTCGTGTAGGAAAACTGGTCCGATATCGCATTCCATTGGATGCCTARAGTTTTTGTGGTACTTTCCTCTTCGAATATGAGGAAATTAGTATACAACAAATTTTCTTTTGGTATGTCTTTTAATATATTTGGGTGATTTGCCGTAATCTTTTTTAGGGGAAACCCTGCGGTATTGAGGGCCTTTGCCAATTGTGATAAGGACTCGTATGCTTGTGAGAGGCTATGGCTCCCAGACAGAATATCGTCTACATACGTTTGTGTTTTTAAGATTTTTGTTGTCAGAGGAAATTCTGACTTTGTGTCTTCTGCCAGTTCGTGAAGTGTACGGATGGCTAGATATGGGKCACAGTTTACGCCAAAGGTAACTGTTTTTAACTTGAAGTCGCGTAGTGGAYTATTGGGGGATTTTCGGAAAATAATGCGCTGAAAATCTTGATCGTCTTTATGTACGACTATTTGTCTATACATTTTTTCGASGTCCCCGTTGAATACGTATCTGAATATACGCCAGTTTAGAATAAGCAGCATTAAATCCGGTTGGAGAGTGGGTCCCGTAAACAGAATATCGTTTAGGGAGTAGTTCTTGAGGCTAGTAGTTCTTGAGGCATTGAAGACCACTCTGACTTTTGTTGTTTTCTTGTCAGGTTTTACCACTGCATGATGTGGCAAGTAGAATGAGTAATATTTGCCTTTTAAGATTTTTTCACATG